CTTCAAAACTCCCAGGAAGCATCACATGCATTAGAGGCCTTTCCTGACTCCCTCACCAATTATCCTGTATATGTTTTTGTATACACTTATGTCTTCCTATTGTCTCCCCTAATAGATTACATGCTTCTTGAGGCCAGAGACTATTTCATTTTAGTTTTTGTATCTCCTATGCCTAGTGCACTGCTTGGCATATAATAGACATTTACAAATCCTTGATTTTCACATTTAGTTTTTAATTTGGACAAAAATAATATCCTGAATGGGGGAGAGGGAGGAAGGTTATGTATCAAAGAAAAATGTCAAAAAAAGATATAGAAAATTTCAATTTCTAGGTAACATTGATGAAGCATTCCATTATTCATGAAGATAATTTACTTCTCAAATAGTTACAACTACCTTGCTACATGTAACTGTGCAATCCAGATGGAAATCTGTCATGAATACAGCAATATCTAACTGAAGTAATATGGTTGGAGAATGGAGTGTTTAAATCATCCAGTTTTCCTGTACACTGTGACTTAACTATTTGTGCAATCAGTTTGTGTAGGTCAAGGACCACACTGTGAAGGGATCAACATTGTTTAAACTGTAATATTATATCTTTTTTTTTTTTTTTTTTTTGGTGAGGCAATTGGAGTTAAGTGACTTGCCCAGGGTTACACAACTAGTAGGTTTCAAGTGTCTGAGGCCAGATTTGAACTCAGGTCCTCCTGACTCCAAGGCCAGAGCTCTATCCACTGTGCCACCTAGCTGCCCCTGTATTATTATATCTTTCAAAATAATGCAATGCTTTGTTAATGGTAATGATACATATTCAGTGAAATAATGCAACTATTAACCACGGTGTCATAATTTTGGAAGAGACCCTATTCAGTTAAAATTTCTCTCATTTTAACAAGTAGACTAGACCTAGGAATAGAAATAAGCTGTTTCCCAGAAACTTTGTATAGATATGAAGCTTTAGAAGTCTGAGAGAAGTGACTGATGTTTCACAAGTAAGTTCAATTAGAAAGAAGCATGAAAGCATTAGGAGAAGTTGAGCAATTGGAAAGTCATTACCTGGGATTAAAGAAGCGAATATGGAATACTTAAGAGCAAAAAAAAAAAAAAAGCCTATCACTAGTCCTCGAATTTTTTTCCTGTTAGCTCAAAACTAGATACTATTGGCATGTTAACAGGAAGAAGAAGGTTTTTTTAAATTATTAGCAAATGGCAGCTAAATATATTGTCTTTCTCTTGGCGAGTCGAATGGAGATGCAAGTTAAGTTTGATCTCCTATCCCTGGCTCTTTGGCTCCAGATGCCTATAATTGACATTTGTAAGACATCTCAACATGACTCTGAAGCATGTTGCCTTTTATCCTAAGGTTTTATACTAAGCTTTGAGTGTAGGTCTCCCAAGCCATCTGAGCTTCTCCTCACTTCTGCCCCTGACTTCTGGTTTCATTGTGTTAGTAAGTATTTAGGGCTTTGAGTACTAAGCCAGCTTCCCTCATTTTATAGACTAGTTCATTTCAAAGGAGTCAAATTGATCTTTTTTTACTTTTTTTTTTTAACTTTTTTTACTCCAGAACCTTTGTACAAGATACTGTGGAATAGAATGGAGCCCAAGTTTATATAGCTCTTTCAAGTTTACAAAATGCTTGCCTTCCAATCTTGTGAAATAGGTATTGCAAATATTCTTCCCTTAATTTTTTCAGATGAGGAAACTGAGGCTAAGAGTTTAAATGGCCTGCCCTATGATCAAATAGCTAATAATTGTCAGCATTAGGAAACCTGGATTCATATCTCATCTCCAGGTCCAAAGTTTGTTGGACTATTTTTTGGGTCTTTTTCCCCATTCACCACACTATCTCTTTTATATTTCAAAATACTGAACCCTGTGCAAAGACTGAAATTTTCATCCTAAAACAGAAATCCCTTAAGATCCTTTAAAGAGGAATTGTTTTTAAAAAAAAGTCTTTGGTTTATCATTCAAGAACTGTTGATTTTAAGGTCTTTTTTTAACCATCAGTCTGAAGAAATCATAATCTTTGTCATTGAATCAGACTATTTTTTGGTAAGTGAGATTTTATCTGGCCAAAAGCATCATATGTAATCAACTTTTTAAGGTATGTTTCATGAATTGTCAGTGGCATTTTAAAAACAAACTTGTAAGGTTATTTTTCAAACGATCATATCAGAATGGATATGAACCAAAGAATATTGTTCTCTTCAGAGTAGTCATTCTGAGAGGCTCTATACTTATTCCAGTGATGCTCATGTTACTGAAATACATTTTTGTAGTCTTATTTGGGAATAGCTTTTGAATGTCCTCAACAGTAGCCAATTTGTTTCATTTTAGGATGGATGTGGTTTTTTATGATAGCTAAACATTTTTAGAGACAAATCTGATGAATGAGGTAGTTGACTAAGTGGGCTCCCAAGTAAAGTGTAATCATAGAGGAATGAGATTGCCATCAGAGTTTATCCATAATTTACACAAACTTCAATTCCAGAAGATGAGTTCCAAACGTGTTTTCACTACTGGCACCATTGAAATAAATGTATAGATTCCTAAGGTGACTCCTTTGAGGAAGATGCAGTCATTTCATAGGGGAATAGATATAGCTTTTTGTCTGAATCTTTCGTTTATAGATGAAGAAAATGGGATTCTGAGACATCAGGTGCTATGCCAAAGGTTACTCAGGTAATGAGTTTTAGAGTCAGGATATGAACTCAAGTCTTCTAGTATTAAATTCAATGTTACTTCTGTTAAAATTGACTGCCTTTCCATTGAGATGTGTGAGTTCTGGTATGTTTATTCATTAAGTACCCATTTATTAATGGCCTTTCTGCAATGTAGAAAGCATTGCTAGGAAGATAATTAAGAAGGCCTATTCTTCTGGGGGCTCATAATCTAGCCAGGGAGGTGGGATGGAGGGAAAGGTGATATGATATATAGATATATAGATAAACAGATATGCAGTAGTTATACAGAACATTGCTAGTGAGAAGTATGAAAATAAAGTGAGGTACAAGGAAGGAAGGATCATTTCTTATTAGTGCTTCATGATAGCACTTGAGCTGGGCTATGAATGGATATGATTTTAACAGATAGATGTGGAAAGTATGGGGATGCCATTCTAGGCACAAGAAAATACCAATATTAAGCAACTAGTCTAATTTTCATTGAACTTTATAACTTGACTTCAATTTTTCCCCCAAAAGATGAGACAGTAAAAGTTAAGAAGATATTATGAGTTCATGGGAAGTTGACAGTGAAATTTGAACACTTACTTTGGAATGCTAATCAGGAATGAGGAAGAAGTATTTTATATAAATACTCTGACAAATTGTATCAGAGGAAATTTGTTTTAACATTGCTTTTATTTTTTTCTGACTTAGAACCTATTTAGGTTTCTAAATTTTCTCACCTTCAATTTTAAAGGACTAGAGAGAAATAGATTTAACCCTTAATACTGGAGTAATCAGGTTGTAGGTGTTATACAGTGCTTAAGATGAAAAGCAATCTTTGCTCTTATCTGAGTACGTGTGAATATATACACCCACACATACATATATACAGACATCCACATGAATATATATCTTTATGTATAGGTGTGTGTGTGTATATATATACACATATATTTGTAGTGTGTGTGTATTTATAGTGTGTGTATATATATATGTACATATATATATATACACACACATTGTATATACTTTACATATTTATGTATATGTATACAATTCTTTTAATCCCTAGTCAGAAATGATCTTTGCTCTCTGAAGGAGAACTTTGTTGACATAAATATGCCTGGGAGTTCATCAGACAAACTGATGCCTATCTCTTGCAGATTCTACAAAAATTTCAATGACACTATTCATAAGCATGCATCATACATGTATTATAGACACAGATACGTGCATGTATACACATGTGTGTACACATGCATATATATATACATCTAGCTGTAGATAGATACCTCTGTGTGTGTATATGTGTATATATATATGTATATGTATACACACACACACACACACACATAAACACACACAAATGCACATTTATTCTGTTTCTTTACCCTTTGGGCAGGCTGAACTGCTATAGAGTACTTTCTTTCTTCCCAAAATGGAAATAGGTTAGGAATATAAGAGGAAGTTTGTTCAGGCTTGACTGTAACTCCATTTCCTTTATTTTTACCCTCATCTCCAGCTCCATTGAGGCGAGCTTGTTGTTGTTGTTTTTTTAGTGGTCCATCTACTTGGCAAATTTAACACACATTGATGGGAATAGACTAGTAGACTACCACCTTCAGAAAGTAAGGAGATGCTGTTCATTTTTAACCATAACTTTTTATAATTTCCTAAGTGCTCTCAGTACTTAGCATTTCATTTAATTTATTTTGCTTTTGTGAGTGCTGCCAGTTCTGTAGACGCTGTGGAATGCTTCATTTCCTTTTTGCTGACATTGCAGCAGCTGTTGACTAAAACACTATTCCCAGAGCTAGCTAGCGTCCATTGATGATGTTAGTACAGAAATGAAAAGTACTTCAACATTACTATAGGATTAATAAGAAAGTAACATATATAGAGGAGCTCACTACATAATATAAAAACGAAAAGCATTCTCCAGATATCATACTTCTCAAGAGTGGCTGCTGTGGGAAATCCAATTATCTGGGTGATAAGCAATCAAAATAAAGTCTATTTAAAGGGGATACTTTCTGGATTTATATATTGTTTCTCTTATTGATTTTTACCCCTACTTATATTAGGGCATTTTATTAGATTTGTTGACACGAGAAGTCTTAGCAATATGCTAATGTAACTTTCATGATTTCATCTAATGCTTTGTTTTGTCACCATTTTAGTATCAGAGATGTCTAATTGATTTTTTTTACATACTTAAACAATGCATCTTTTCCAAAAGCCCATCCATTTAGAAAATTTTCAAAGTACATTTTATGAAATAGCTTTTTGTTTGATTAATGTATATAGTTTTCTTCATGCCTTCAGTTTGCAGAAAAGTTTCAGGAATTCAAAGAAGCTGCTCGATTAGCAAAGGAGAAATCCCAAGAGAAGATGGAGCTCACGAGTACGCCCTCCCAGGTGGGTATGAAGTTCTTTTTCTCCTCTTTAAGTCCTGGTGTGCCAGCTACTTTCCTTTATGCTCAGTTTGAATCAGGAAAAATAATAAGAAAATCAAGGTAATTTTCAAAATGAAAATAGAAAGGCAGTTTTTTTTTTATTTCTGCTTGCATTGGTGGAGAATAGTTCCATGCTCTATTGATCGAAAGGGTTCTGGTTTATTAAAATTAGCTTTTAAATGTCAAAACTCAAATTTTTAAAAGTCTACAAAGTACTTTGAGTTAAAATAAGTTAACTGAATATATAATGGCTGTGCTATTTCTTATAATTTTAGTTCTGTAGATTGGGAAAACCTAAAATCGATTCAGCAGATACTTTCCTCATACCTATTTAAAACCCAGCAATATTCAACACACTGTAAAGATTATAATTTTATAAGAGTCATTGATAAGTGGCTTTTTCCCCCGACACTGTCAAGTTGAGTTAGTGCTTGCTAACCTTTCATTCATCATACTTTTCTTCTGAAGGTCAATCAAAACTCCAAATAAAGTTTCCTGAAATGGGTCTAGAATACTATTCAGCAGGTTCATTAAATGAATCTCAGTATTTGTGATCTTGTCAGTATATGTTCTCCCTTCCCTGACTAGACCATAACCCTTTTATTCTTAGCTAGTAGTCATCATGCTGCAGTGGCCAAAAAAATCCATTACCTGAGAACTACCCTTCTGGAGAAGAGCCTCTCTCAAGTTAGGTCCTACCCTTACATAGCAAACCCAACCATTTTCAGGCTCATCTTCCAAATCTTTGCAGCTTAGGACTTGCCCAAGGTAGTTTTCTAGAGCTCAGAGTATTGTCTGTGACACTCCACAATATCAGAGTTCACCATGCATGTTGTGATTTAAAGAGAAAACCATGACCTTATTTTAGCATTAGCATAGTTTGCTAAAAGGAATTTATTTGTAACAATGGTGTTAAGACATGTTGCAGCCTGGTAAATAGAGCGTGTCTCTGAAATGATTATTTTTTTCTAAAATAAGCTTTTTGGGTGACCAGAAATCCCTGAGAGTTCAAAAAGAAACAGCTTAAATTGAAATCCAAAATAGTTTGGTAGCCAGGGTGAATGATGAGCATATTGAGATCAGAACCCTCAAAATGACCATTTTCTTGGTCCTTTCCATGTAAAACAAATGAATAAAGGCAAAAATAAAAAGGGCAGTTAAGGATGACATATCCTTAATGCCCAAACCCTTAGGGCTTTTTGGCTTTGATATATAAAGGAAGAGTACTGTATAAATTGTATCATAGTTTTAAAACTTTTTTCTTTCAATTAAGCATTTATTTTCTCTCCCTCCTACCTCTTGTCCTGTGAAGGCTTGGCAGCCTTCACACCAGAGGTACTAGTCTTTCCTGAACATACCCAACACCCCAACCAATCTCCTGTCTTCCCATTGAGAGGGGGAAAAAATCCTCATAAGGAATATGCATAGTTAAGCAAAACAAACTCTCACTCACCATGTCCAAAAATACGTGTCTCACTGTACAGCAAGTCCACCACTTCTCTGTTAGGAGGTGGGTAATATAGATCATTAGTCCATCCTCTGGAATTGTGGTTTGTCATTGCACTGATCAGAATTCTTAAGTCTTTCAAAGTTATTTGTCTTTACAGGGTTGTTGTATAAAGGAGTATCACTTATTTAAATGTCTTATCAGAATTTAAACATTTTCTGTTATATCTACTGTCTCTTTCAACTGGGAAAAAATATACAGTAAGGTAAATTCATTGATTTAGCCAAATTATTGATTGAAAACTGCAGAAACCACACCTACCCCCTTACTATTATTCCCTACCCCCCAACCTACTTATATTATCTTTAGTTCGGTGATTCTTTGGGGATATAGAAAATTAAATTCTTAAATTTTTGCCAGTACCTGAAAGGGAGCCTTTTTTTTTTTTGAAATGCTGTATTCTTGGACTGATTCAGATTGATCTCTAGTCCAAGGCACTGGCAATGTCTGTTTGTAGATTGTTGGAATAACTTGATGATCCCTTTTGAATCATTTTTAATAAAACTTTTCTTGGAGAGTTGTTTTTTTTTCCTATTTCCACTGGCATAGCCCTTTTGTGTTTTTGTATGTTTTTGTCCGTTTAAGCCTAGAGGGCTGGTTTAGGTTGACTTATTAAAGCTAATCTAATCATTGGAGTTCAGCAAACAAACTGATGTCTCACTCTTGCAGATTCCACAGCAATTTCAATAATGGCATGATCCAAGCGTCTCTAATGTCCACGAATTACATTTTGCTATAGTACTGACTTAGCCAGAAAGTTTCCCTAATTGTTCCCTTATTTTCAGATCCATATTCATATACATTTATACTTAGGTAGTAGCAGAAGTCCCTTTAAAAGTGTTACTTGCCTCAGAGGCATATTTCAGAGAGAGTATCATGTCTTTCAAAAAATTATACAAGTCAATGTTAATTTGGCTTTCCTCTTTTCAAATTGTTTCTCGTAAAAAACTTTATAAATTTTTATGTGAAAATGTGCTTCAGAGACTAAATATGCTGTTTCTAATTGCCCTTTTAATTTTAATTTTTGCCTTTATTCATTTGTTTTACAGAGAAGGGACCAAGAAAATGGTCATTTTGAGGGTTCTGATCTCAATATGCTCATCTTTCACCCTATCTACCAAACTGTTTTGGATTTCCATTTAAGCTTCATTTCATTTTGAACTCTTAGGGTTTTTTGGCCCCCCAGGTCCCAAGCCCAGCAAAGACCTGATTTAGCAGCACAAAATATTCAAAGGAATGTATACCATGCCCCACTGGAAGGTGATACCTGACTTTGAAGGTTTAACCCAACCCAAGAGTTAGTCTGTATTCTACCTGATGGGAGAGGCACTATCTAGGAATTCCAATGGAGATTCAAGAGATGGTTTGGCCTTTGAATATTCCTAAAAAGTCTCACCTTTTTAATGTTTTGAAAGGGACCTGATACTTACGGCAAAGATAATTCTTTTCTTGTCAGATTCCTTTAATTAAAGGAATATACTTAAGTAGGTTGCCAGGTATCACATTTCTAACTGATCCTCTTTGAGAGGAAAAATCTTATCTAAAAAAAAGAATGCTATGGTAAAAATGTGGTTCCTCTAGCATTTAAGTATGTGTTATGTAAAAGGCACAGTGCTAGATGCTGGGAAATAAAAGAACAAACATATTAGCAATCCCTGCCCTCTAGAAGCATATGTTCTGTTGAGAGATATGCAACACAGAGAGGTAAAACATCTTCAAGGAGGGGAGAGAGTATTGATTGCTGGAAGAATTGCTGGTACTTGAATTGTGAGCCTTGAGGGAAACCAAGGGAAGAGGTGAGAAGAATACATTTTAGGATTGGAGAAACCAGGAAATGGAATGTTAAGCGCAGGAAATAAGTAGTAAGTCAGCTTGGAACAGAGAGTGTATGTGAAAATGAATTATATGAAATAAATCTGGCAGAATTGATGGGAGCCAGATTGGGTAGGGCTTTAGGAATCAGGAGAGTCAACTCCACAAATACTTATTGGCGCCTGCAGTGTATGTAAGGAATTATTCTAGGTGCTGAGGAAACAAAGACAGAAACACAACATTTCTGCCCTCAAGGAATCTATGTTCTACTCCGTTCTAGTCCAGGTACTGCCTGGACCTTGTGCACCTCACCTCTCACAATTACATATTTATTGGAAAGGGTCTCCGAGGCCATCTAGTCCAGTTCCCTCATTTAGCAAGTGGGGAAACTGAAACCTGGAGAAATTAAATGGCTTGTCCAAAGGTCGCAGAGGTAGCCAGTGGAGGAGCTGGAGTTCAAACCCAGGTTGTCTCTGTCTATTACCTTTCTTGTAAAATGAGGAGATTGGACTACATAATTTCTAAGGTCCTTTCCAGGATTAAGTTGAATCACATGTTAATAATTATTTAATTTTTTTCTCCACCTTCATTAACATATAATAATCCTTATTTTGATCAGCTATTTCATTGGGGGTGGGTTTTCCCTCCATTACGTAAATCACAAACCCCTCTAGGTCTTCAGTCATCGATTTCATTTTTCTAATACATATGATAAAAGCAAACTCTTTTGCCTTGGTGTGGAATTTGTGCTACCTTTTTAATATTCTTCTTTTGGATGAATTATTTTTCATTAGATGCCAGCAGCCTCAGTCTTGTTTTCTAATCATTTGGAGACAGTCTGTGGTTGTTAGGGTTTTTTTGTGGGGGAGGAGGGTGGGGGTGGGGGTGGGGGTGGGGATCCTGCTACCAAGTAGCATCATAATGCTAGACATCCCCCTTCATTTTCTGTGTCTTTCTTCATTTGTAAGAATGTGCAGCCTTGACTAAAAATTTAAGTTCTCTTTCAGGTCTAAAATAATTTTTTCCTTTTTTTTTTCTTTTATTAAGAATTGGTCAGTTTCTATAAACTTGTGGGTTAGTTTTCCTCTGAAGCTGGGTGTACTTTATTCAAGTATTACCTTGCAGTGTTGTGGCCCCAAATGGCTTTTATTTTTTTGTACTCTGTTTTGCTTATCTATGAACAGAGAAGAGGTGAAAAAAGCAGAAGGGGAACCCATCAGGGTGGGACCACTTCCTTCGAACAATCAGGGCATATTTTATTGAAGAAAGGCTACGTGGTAAGGTTTCAAGTAGAGATGTCAATCTTATAGGCATGAAATCAAATTTAATGAATGTCTAAAATTGTTTTTGGGAAAAAATGATTGCAAGAAGTTAGGTCCTTGGTTTTGTATAACCTACAAAAGCCATTGTTTCTAACAATGCAAGTCTCATTAAAACCATTATAGAAAAACTTTACTCCCATTTCTGCTGCTACCATCCTGTGTTAGGCCATAGCCTACCACAATTTTTTACTAGGCAGAGGTGTATAGACTTGATTGGTGAGAAGATATCCCACAAGTCTGTAATACTTGCCTCAGAGAGTTAATTCTGAAATCCACACCTCCCCATCCATCTGTTATAATTCACCTATGTTGTTTCCTTCTCAATACATGTTTTCACTCCCATTTTCAATGAAATAAATATTTTCTTACTTTGAAACTAGTGATAGAATTCTAGAAATGAGTTTATTCAAAGAAAAAAGAGATATTGTACTATTGAAAGTTGCCTTTTCAAGAATCAGATAGCATTTAGTGACCTTATCTCTCCCCCCCCATGATAAATTGTTATTCAAACTCCTGGAACTTAAGTATTTATTTCTATACTATTTATAATTTTTATGCTGACACTTGGGGCCCACAATAATAACAATAATAATAATAGCTCATATTTATATAGTATTTTGAACTTTGTAAAGTATTTTATATGTCATGTTTATATATATTATTTGATCCTTACAACAATCCTAGAGGTAGATGTTATTGTCCCTGTTTTACAGTTGAGGAAACTGAGGTAGACAGCAGTTAAATGATTTGCCAGGGTCTGAGACTGGATTTGAACTTAGGTCTTTCTGACTCCAGGTTCAACACTCTACTTAGCTGCCCCCATAAAGGCATAAAGATATGGGGCATTTATTTCCCATTTGTCATAATCTGACTCCTACTGTTTCTGCTTTTAGTACAAGGCCATTCTCAGATACAAGGCTATCTGTATCAGTACCAGTGACAGATCTCCACTTTCCAGTCATACTGCCTTTCTGGGGATTATGGCTTGCCAAGGGCAAAGCCAGCCCTAGACAAAATGGTGAAATATTATAACAGAGCAGTAGGTTTGGGTGCATGACTTTCTATCTCTGCTTTTCTTCCTCTTTCCCTATCACCTTCCTTTAAGGTTTTCAAGATTGGGATATTAAAATTACACTACTCAGATGTGTGCTTTTTTCCTTATTTCACCAGCAGTACAGACCAGTGTTTGTCTAGTGTCTCTTCATTTGTGATAGAAAGGATAGACTTTTCTGACCATAACTGCACCGTATGAAATTCAGGAAAGAAAGAACTTTGAATGTTTGAGTACAGCTTTGTGGTAAATCTCTGACACATCCTGTTTCTTTTAATAATTATGTGGTCACATCTGTTGCCTTTGGCTTTCTGATGATCTGTGCCCCAAAACTTGTGAAAATAACCAGATTTTTGCCAGGACTAGATGTTTGCAACATATTTTCTGTATTTTGGCTAGCTCTTCTTTCCTGATTACGGAATTAGGAAAAAGTCTTTCTAGAAATAGTCAGATGTCTTCTTTAAAATAATTTCACATTTGTATGATCTCACTTTTAACTTTGAGAAAATTCCACCTTTCCCATGGGGAAGGCGTGGGGTGAGGATAGTGAATGGAGAAATGCAATTTTTGCTGCTTTCATTCTCTTATATTAAATCTCTTTATAGTCACACTTTCTAAAATGTTTTTTTTTTGATCCTAATTGTTGTGTACATCTAAATAAGCTTAAGAAATCCTAATTACAAAATTAATGTTTTTGCACATGGGGACCTTGCATTCTCAAAGAGACATACATTTTAAAACCACGCATTTTTGTTACATTTCATTTGACATTTATAGCTGTGACTTAATATAATTAGCTGTATACTTTGGGAGCTAGACTGGATCCCCCAAGAAGTGACACAAATTTAGGATAAAACGGAAACAAACTATATAAACATTGGTCTGATTTTTAATTTTTTGTTATCATGAACCTGACAAAAATACATACCAACCTGAACATCTCCAAATACAATGAGGAACAAGAAAACAAGATTTCATAGGGAACTACAAATCTCTGTTATGTTTAGTTTGCATTTATTTTCAGATATGTAATAAATGTAACAGTTTCAAAACTGTCCTGCTTATCTTTGAACTTCCTTCTATTTATCTAATGCATTGAAAAAACTTCAGTGATGCTTTTCTTTTTTTTGGCGGGGGGGGTCATCACTATCACTATCCTCCTTTTCCCTCCGGTTCTCCCCTAAATTAAAAAAAAATCTCTCTTGTAACAAGCTTAATTAAGTAAAACAGATTTCCTCTTTAGTTGTATCTAAAAGAATGTCTCATTTCACATCGCCAATCCATCAACTCTCTAGGGTCCAGTTATATAACATTTTTTAAACTTAAACTTCAATTATGCCTAATTGGACATATGCTTTCATAGTTTTAGAGCTGGAAGGGTCTTTGGAGGCCATCTTGTTTAAACCTCCTTATTTTACAAAGAAGGAAACTAAGGCCAAGGAGTGAAGTGACTTGTTCAAGTCACATAGGGATTGACAGCTGAGATTCAAGCCCAGGTTCTCTGACTTCAAATCCAGCCCTTCATGGGCTTCAAATCCACTGCCTTCATGGACAAATATAGGCCCAGGATGAGAGAGATTTGGGGAGACTGGAAGTGGGTTGGGGTGCTCTTGATTCCTCAATCCTGCAGTCCTATATTGAGTCTAGTCCAGTTTATCTGGCTAAGGCAGAATCTTGTAATCTCGGCTCATGGGTGATGACTGCTCCCCTGGTGGCTCATGGGAGTTGCAGGAGGTGGGGTAACACCATCTGGACTGGGAGTAGGCAGGAGTACAGCTGCATGAGGGTTAATTGAGATTGCAGCATGTCAAGTGGGGTGGTACCTCCCCAAATAGTGGAGGATTGAAATACCACTTGTGGGATTGTCAGTTTTGTAGCCCTTTCCATTGTCTTTCATCTTCCCTTTTCTCAGTCCAGCCTTTAATTTTCACTCTTTTTTAAAATTAATTTATTTAAAATTTAGATATTAAAACTTAAGTACACAATAAGAAAAGAAAAAAAAGCTTTGCCATATGCGCAGCAGAATCTAAGAGAGGATTCAAAATATATAGCAATAAATTTCATTTTCAAGAAAGCCTATAGAATAAATACTACACATTGTCTTCAAAGCTGTCCATCTTTTCTTTGCTTCCTTGTAAGTTTTCATTTGTTCTCTGCTGTGCACTTTTCACTTTGTTTCTTCCCCCCATTCACCAAGAAGGTTACAATTGTGTCTATACATACATATGCCTGTATATAATATACACACATGCATATGCCCATATATACATACATATATATCTGTACACACAAACATATATATACCTATACATACACTTACACATACATACATATACTTAGATATCTATAATCATACTCATCTAAAGACATATAATTCATATGCATCTATGTAAGACCATGCTATACTTGTTTGTCGTCTATTTCTCTGAGGATGAATAGCATCTTCCTTCAGGAGTCCAAGTCTTTCCATATTTTTCTAGGTCCACCAACACATCATTTCTTATACCACAGCCAAATTCCAACCTTATACTCTCTAGTTATTTTAAATGGTCTAAAACAATATTGATTAATATGGCTAACATATGGTATAGTTTCTCTATTTTTCTCTTTTGATTAAATCTATTTTAGCTTTAACTTTGAGATCATAATTACTACCCCAGCTTTTTTTCCTAATAAATTCTACTCTTGATCTTTAGTTTATGTTTGTGTGTATCATTTCCTGTCCCTCCTGACTCCTCTACTTTACTTCTACCCACTTATTCTCCTACTACTTAACCTACCCTGCCCCAAAGCTCCTTTCCTTATCCTCTCCCCCCAACCCTCTCTTGCCTTCTTGTTTCTATCTGAATTTAGAAGACTTTTGTAGCCTTCCCGATATATTTGTTCTTCCGTCTTTATCCCATTCCCATTAATCTAGACACCCTTCTATACTCCTCCCCCCAATCTTCACTCTTAATGAAGATTGTAAAGCAGCATTCCCCTGATTTTTCTCTCCTGGAGCCACAGTAGCATTTGCCCTCATGTTGGAGGGGGATAGAACCTAGAGCCCAGACTTTCCTGTCTTTTATCCCTACACTCTTAGTCTGTAACTGATCCACTTTTCCACCTACCCCTAACCTGTCCTATTACTCCTCTAGATAAATGCATCAGAGATCTCTCATGGTTCTCTTCCTTAGACAGCAGTGTTTAACTTCCCTGTGCTGCAGAGAAAATGTTTCTCAGCCCACAGATTTGCAGTTAATGAGTATTAGAAGAGTAGGAGAATTCAAGTAGATTATTTGAAGGGTTATAACAGTCTAGGGGCACCTGCTCCATGGAATCAGTTGATGAAGGTAAAAAATGAAAATAGGGAAGCATAGGAAAGCCTTTTCCTTTTCCTCTCTTTCATGCTTCTTTGCTGTAAATTTTGTAGGTTCAGGTCTCCTAAAGGGAATACATCCCTGCTTTTTTTTCTAGCTGCAACTTTTAATCCTCTGACTCTTTCTGGACCCTCATCTACGTAATTTGAACTAGATTTGTCAAATTGTACCAACTTCCAATATCAAATCTGAGACCATGATGGAAACTGCCATAGTAAGAATAATTATGAGACTTTGAACTTTAAAACAAACTCTCAGTGTTTTCCAGAGGGACTAATTAAACTTGCATTGTTATGCAAACATTGATTAAAGACAGAAAAAAAAAGATGGGAAATTTTGTGAAGAAAAATGATCAGAGCATGAAATCCTATAGTGGCAAAGCCAAAATGAAGAAACATTATCATGAGAGCTTCTTTTAAAGCTCTTTTATTTTTCTTTTCTAATCTGCCTTTGCATACATGGTTTTGTCAGAGATGAGAAGTGATGAATCTACAAGAGTTGTCTCTTGTTCCTAGGACTCTAATATTTCCTCCCTCAACTCTTGTTCATTTTCTTTTGTGCTTTCATTTTTTTCCTACTATTTTCTTTAAATATCTTCAATTATGGACAAGTAATTGCTTAGATAACTGATAAACTCTAAGATTAATTTAAATTGTTTGCTTCTAAAAACAGAATATTTATAAAATTTTTTACTTTGCTGTATGAGTTGCTTTGTTTATGTATTTCTTTCCAAGTTTAATTTTTAATTCCATGTGTCCTTTAAGTTTTAGTTGAAATATGGACCATAAATGAACGTACACCATACTTCTAATATGACCTGATGTTTAACTAAAGTTCAATTTTTCTTTTTAAAGGAATCAGCAGGAGGGGATCTTCAGTCTCCTTTAACACCAGAAAGTATTAATGGGACAGATGATGAAAGAACTCATGAAGTGACACAAAACTCAGAACCAAGGGCTGAACCAACCCAGAATGCATTGCCATTTTCACATAGGTACAGATTCAATTCAAGCATCATGATTAAGTAACAAATGTGTGATGTGCTTTTACTTTGCATACGTTTAATAAGGTATTATAACACTGAATGCAAATTCCATGTTGGGTCTCCTTTTTTTTCCCCAAAAGTACAGTTTCTATTCACCCACAAATGAAATACCATAAAAGCTCACTAATTTGGAATTTACAGTCATTCAGCTGGGTCAAGCTAAAATTTACTTTTGTACTATCTATGCAGAAAAGATTTGCTGAGCAAATTAATATAAGATTTCAGTGAAACAGTGAATATGATTGTGATTCTTAGTTTTTTAACATGGTTAAGGGCCCAAAGGGCCCTTCTTTGATTAGCCTAGTTCAGGTTTTACTCTATGTTCTTAAGAGACACAACTATCTTTCTTGAAAACAAAATGATAATTGTCTGGTCTTTCTAGATTTTAATTAATGAGGATTTATAGTATTGTTTTCAAAAGTGGTTTTCATAGAGGAAATAAACAAGCTAGTTGAGGTTTGAGAACTTATGTAGTGATTTTTTTGTCTGTTTCATTCTAAAGATTCTTTTAACAAGAAATAATATTGAAATATCTTTTTAAGAGAATTGAATGCTTTTAAAAATATCAGATCCATTTTTACTTTTGTACCAAACCAATAACTCTGACCAGATGGGGTAGGTAGTTTTAGGGGAGTTATAGAACTTCTGTGAAGTTAATATGAAGTAGACACTTGGATTATCTCAGTTTGAAGGAAGCACTTCTCTCGCTGAAACCTTAAGAGGTAATATATTTAAAATTCATAGAAATGGTATAAAAGTGTTTTGCTTTGTTACTCATTAGTCCTTTGGAGGACATTAAAATTGAATTCTTATCTATGGTATTAAGACTTTGGTTTGCATGCTATGGAATGGGCTGGACATGAAAATAAAATATTCTGAATGAAAGCTTTCTACAAATTACATTTTTTGAAGTTTAGTTTGATTAAATTGGAATTAGAGCAACATAGGACTAGCCCCATTGTCTTGCCCAGCCTCTCTGTAGCTCAGTCTTGAAATAATTCTTAATCTGGACCAGAGGAAGGAAAGTCTTGTAGTTTTTTAGTCAGAATCGTATGTCTTGGATACAGAAGTCTTTTTTAAGAAGTAGTAAAATATCTGTTAGATTTAGGGGAAAAACTGATATTCCATTTTATTATTGAGAATGCTAAGAATTTTGCTTAGTGCAGAAAATATATTTGGGTGATTGTATATTTTTATATTTTGAACTGTTCTCAGTAAACAACTTTTTATCAGAAAAATTGTGTTGCATGAAAAAAAAAGAGAAGTTTCTCTGTTGAGTTCTACTGACTGTCTCTATGTTTAACTTGTCACGTGATGTTTTTGAATATTCAATTGCAAGTGAACAAAAGAGGGACTTAATATTTGAATGGGCTGGACTCAACATATGAGTGGGCTGGTTTTTTGTTGTGGTTTTTCTTTTTGTATAAAAGACATTAATTGGGATGATTGGGAGAGGAAAATCCCGCATCCTGGTAAGTGTGGTTCTTAGAGTTCTTGCCAGCCTTGCCCATGGGATAGCTGACTTAGCTGCCCTAAACATAGTTAAGTATTAGCTTTCTTTGACTGGCATTTAAATGAGCTGTATGAATTAACACTTGTAGCATTTTAAAGCTAGAAATTTTGTCAGCAATTGCAAATTCTACCTGGCACTTATTTACTTTCAGGTACCTCTAGTTTTGGGAACATCATTAGTGTTCTACTTAGGTTCTGTTTTTGATGTTGCCAGCTAGACTTTGTCTTCTACTAGGGACATTTTATATGCCAGGGTGTCTCACTAGTGTGTGGTCACCTTTTCTTAAATGTAGCACTGTCTCAACCAGAAGCAATTGCAATTTAGCCATGAATGTGTTATCCTACTCACAGGAGCCACGTAATTGTTTTCAACCCCAACATTGTGTATATTTCTGCCATGTTTGATTTTGAATGTCCAACTTAAATGGAAATAGCTTGGCAGTTTGCAGATATAGAAGGGCTGGAGTCAAATTTTGGTATTTATTTTCCCTAAAAATCTTTTGTAAAAAATTCAGTGTCTTGGTAAAACATGGTAGATGTGAAACCTCTCGCTTCAGGGAGCATTTAATGTTGAGGGGCCACATTTGATTACACTACTTAAATGTGTAGTACAAATAATTTTAAAATTCACTTTTTTTACTGTCTTTCCAAGTATGTCTTTTACAAGACACGATCTTTGATTTTGTTTTGATACAAGTCAGAATAGAAAGCTGTTCAAAAAAGGATTTTTTTGCTTTAAAGTCTAGAAAAATTAGATGACTATTTTTGCATAGATGTTTTGTTTCTTACAACTGGTATTAGATTCATAGAACAGGATAGAGCTAGAAGGGACCTTAGAGATGGATTCCAAAGTCTTAATTTTAACAAATGAGGAAATTGAGGTCATACAATTAGTGCCAAACTTAGGACTGGAATAAAAAAATCTAAAAAGCAAAAAACCACTTATTTAGTGTATAATATCCAGCCTTGATAATCAATTCTGATTTTTTTTAAAATGCTAACTGGTTTGAATTTTGCTTCTTTTCTCTATCCTGACCCATATATGACAGACACCTACTGATTGGGTGACGTTGAGCAAGTTGCTTCACTTGTAAACCTTCTAGACAAATTTCTAAAACTATATAAATTGTAGAGAAGTTGCTGACCTGTTAGCAGAGGTAGTTTCTTCATCTGAGTGTCCTATGCCAATGAGATTGAAAGTTGAGTCTCTTTCTCTATGTTGGCTCATTCCTCTGTGAAGGTAACTCACCAGTAACACAGACAAGATGCCACTGTGTACACCAGGTGAAATGAAAAGGGGAAGAAGCAACAGCTTACCTTTTGGAGAGGAGGGTGGCCCCAAGAATCTAAGCAATTCCGCATGGAATTCCATTCCAACTAAATTTCTAATCTTTTTCAGAACAACTCTTCATTTGAAAGGTTGATTACCTTTGAGTTTAAGCTGACATAGTTTGGCTTGCTCATCAAAGAGAATCTTAACCAATTTGTTACTCAGACTCTCCAGTAAGATTGCAGTTCGACTGCCTTTGCCTTGAATAACATATAGGAACAGGGATGTATGTTCTTGGGTCTCTATCATCTGAGCAATTGTTCACCTCACAAGTATTATCCATGAGGAAATTTTGATTTTACTAATTGAGTAAGCTAAGCAGTCCTTGAGATAAGGAATTATGTCTTAATTTCTAGCAGATGTTTCTCTACCTTTTGATTTTGTTTTGATACAAGTCAGAATAGAAAGCTGTTCCAAAAAGGATTTTTTTTTGCTTTAAAGTCTAGAAAAATTAGATGACTATTTTTGCATAGATGTTTTGTTTCTTACAACTGGTATTAGATTCACAGAACAGGATAGAGCTAGAAGGGACCTTAGAGATGGATTGTGAGCATGTTCTGAAGCTATGAGAAAAACCTCCTATTTTGAAAGATTTCCAAACAGAGGAAGATTTTTAGGTTTGAAGTCACTTTTTGACATCATGGAAGTTATTATAAAAAATTTGTGGTAAGCTTAGCTGTCATCTTTCACTTTTTTGTGCGTTAACATATAATGTCACTATTTCCATTTAATTTGTTCAATGCAATTTTATGATCCTTAAATATGCAGTATTATAGATTGAAAAGATGCTGTCATATAGCATTTCAAGAATTTGGGACAGACTTACTAGTATATATTCAGGAAGCTATTTTTGTATTGATAGTTTTAATAAGAATTTGATAAATTTCCTTAGTTTCAGAGGTTCTTTTAACCCCTGTTTATATTTAATTCTTAAGATGTCAACAGTATGCATTCACATGGTGCTGTTCATTTTATGCATTTTGTTGGTGCTGCATGTATATTGTAGTCTGTAAGCAAAATAATAACTTTCTGCTAGTTCACATGTTTCCTACAGTTTTTGTTAAAGGATGCACACAGAAACTTTCCTTTCTAGTAGACTGATTTTGCTTTAGTCCTATGCAATGACAGTTTTACTAACAGCAGACGGATTTCATTCCACTCAAAACTCTAGTTCATTTTTAAGAGGTTTGTTAATTTCACATTTATTGGAGTTTGAAAGGTCTAGTTCCTTTGCAACTGGATTGCTCATTTTAAATGTTTTTTGTGACAAGAATTCTTAATTTAATTTTCATTTGGGGCAATTTAAAATAAAAATCTTACTGTGAATACCATACATTCTGCTACCTAAGATTATTATTAAATATAATCCTGTTCTGACTTAAACAAGGAGTGGAAGAATGGATAGTGCGAAGCTCTGTTGTTGTTTTTTTCCTATAATTTTTTTCTATAATTATGGCCTCAGTTTCCTTATTTTTACTATTAACAAATGGGAGGTAGTTTCTGCACTGAGGCATGACAACACTCAACACACCCTTTGCCATGATACTCATACTGCAACAGAAATGAATAAACTAGCAGTATGTGAACTGTGACATTTCATTAAGAAGTATTTGTCATTAAGATTTAATTATAGATTATTTATAACTGAAGCTATAGAGTTCATAATAGAAAATGACAAAGAATTTTAAATGAGTTCAAAAAATAATTATTTTCTACCAAGTACCTCCACTGACTATTGGACTAGACTAGAGTCTCTGTTCATCTCAAATCATCAAATCAAATCTCAAATCAAGTTGAGAGATCATTGCCATCAGCTGTGATAGTTCTGAACTTGACCTACGTCTGTCACCATCCCCAAAGAAGCTTGTAGTCAGCATTCTTTGTAGCGCTGTACAAAGTTGGTTAAAGCCTCTGGCCCTTGGGAGCTCATAGGCTGATGGGAAGTTTTATAAAATCTAAATTAAGAAGCAGTGAGAGTAAAAAGACCTTAATCCTGTTAGTTTTCCAATAAAGCATTTCATTTTAAAAACTTATTTTGTACCTACTTTGATTCATTTTTTAGAGTTGTAAAAGGCTTTGAGTGATGAAGGATTAATATCTATGAAAA